GAATTATGATGCCATGAACTCAGCCCTCAGAACTCCTCTGAGCTGCGCAGGATCTTGAGGCCTTCTACCATAAATAGCCAGACGGAGTGGAGTGAGGAGAGGGGTCGGTGGGTGGAGGGAGAAACGGCTTACTGTAGAAATGCCCTTCTGAGTTTCTGAAACTGCACTAATCTCCCTCTCTATCCCTCTCCTCTCCTTCCTTTTCTGTGTTTCTGCATCTTTCTGACCTCACGCCTCCATAACAACATACCTCTGTATTCAGCCTGGAGCTCTCCTGCCATCCCAGATGTCTCTCCAGTGGTATTCACTGTTGATGTATCTCTTTACTCTGAAATACTTTCTCTGAAATGTGCCATGTGTGTTCAGTAAATTTCAGTCCTGGTAGAAATTAGAAATTGTAAATCATCAGACAGTTAAACTGCTCCTTTGTTTGGATTGCTGGATTGGTTATGATCTTACTAAGCTCCCGAAAAACCCAGCCTCATCCATTTAAAATGAAAATACTGTAAATACAAAGCACATTAAAATCTTTTATTTAAAAGAGGCCTCTTTACTCATCAGCTACCATTCACCTTACATTTTCCAACACAGTAAATGTACTCAAAAGTAGACGATCTTAGAGTCAACGTAAACAGTAAATCCCACCTTGCAGTAAATATCTGACTGCAGTCTGTTATTTTTAGTGTGAGGGATTCCTCTATTCCTCTTTCACAAGACATTACATCTCTATCCCTCTCAGCTTAGGCCCTTCCCTTCTCCCATCATGCCCAAATAAAGTGTCCGAATTCCATGTGTGTGCTTCTTCTTCTCTCAGTGAAATGTTTATAAGACCCCTCACTTAGTGTGTGTGTGTGTGTGTGTGTGTATATATATGAGAGAGAATACGACTGTGCATGCATGAGAGTGTGTGTCTGTGCATGTGCACATTTTTGAATGCATAATTCCATATCCAAACAGGTACTCTGTTGTCATTTAATAATAATTTGAGACTACAGTCTTGGTTCATTTTAGAAACATTACAAAATACAAAAATTGAACTTTTACTATATTTTAATAGCATGAGGTATAAGGTTGACCAGTTTATGAGGTCCATTATGATGTTTCTGTACTCTGTTTATTTTCTTTTAACTTGATTGGTAGCTGGTTATTGGTGCGCTGAGCTCATCGGGGCCAGAGGCAGGATTTTATTAAATACTGAGATCATGAATCCAAATTCCACCTCTGGACCAACATGAGCATGAAAAGAATTTTAAAAACTATATTTTATTTTTCTCTTCTTATTTCTTAGTCAGTTTAACTGCTCAGTTATAGTGACCGTTACAAAGTCTTCTCCACACTGCTGGGATACAATTCTAATGGAGAAATACTAAATCTCTAAATTATATTTTAATACTATATAATATATATATTTATTTATATATATTTATCTATATTTATTTATTTATTTGTGTATGAATTGTTTTTTTAAATATTCCAGATTAAAGCTGTCAAATTCGAAGACATTTAGTCTGAATCAAATCCTATCAAACTGATGCTTCGACTGTTATCAGTTCTTACAGACCGACGAGAAATCTGCACACACACTTCAACTACTTCAGTGAGAATTTCAACTGCTTTCATCTGACAATTCAAGTGCTTTTATCTCTAACGCTTGGAACTGACATTCCAGCTGCTTTCAGCACTTACACGTCAACTGCTCTTAACTGACAGTTCAAATACGTCACCTGGCATTTTAACTGCTGTCACTGCTAACAGTACAGCTGACACTTCAACTATTAACAACGCATACGCTTCGACTTCACACTACCTGTCAGTACTCCTTTTTCATTGTGTATCTCTTTTTTGTTTAATGACAATCAGGTGATTTGATCTCATCAGCAATTAACAATTGAACTCTTGTTGCTGCTCATATACCAGCTGACACTTCCAGTACTAACAGTGCACACACTTCAACTACCTCCAATCACCTCTGCTAAAATTTCAATTTTATCTCTTGCTGCAACTTCAATGTCTTTCAGCTCTTACTCTTCAGCTGTTAGTTCAACTACTGTCAGTGTTCACATACAAACTGACTATTCAGTTGCCTACAGGGCTTAAACTTAAAATTACATTTTTAAACAGTTTCAAGAATTACACTTTAACTGCTTTCGCATCTTCAGCTGACAACTGCTTTAAGTTCTTCAACTTCAACTACGATTCCCGAGACCTTTTAACGAGTTCACGGTGTTTGCACGTGTATAAATTTCGTAAGTAGTCAGGGGTTAAAGTGGGATTTGGTGGAGGGTGGGGGAACCCTAAGATTCGGGCAGGTCTCTTGCTCTCTTTTTACACTCTCAGATTTATTACTTTATTGATCGAAGGTGTCAGATTTTACATTTTATTATATTATATTACATTTTATTTATTTTTTTTGCGGCTGTTTTGCATCTCCTTGTAGTAATTTTAAATCTATTTGTAGTGTGTCATTCTGTAGTTCTTGTGTGTCTCTTTGTGGTTCTTTTGCCCATTTTGTAGTTGTTTAACATTCTCTTTGTCCTTACTTTGAATCTCTATTGTTTTTTTGCCTCTTTATGTTGTCATTTTACATCTCTTTGAAGTCACTTTACATTTTTCTGGAGTTGTTTATTGTCTCTTTATTGCCTCTGTCAGTGAAGCGCAGAGGGCCCTTGGAGAAATACTAAACCCTTTTGTTATACTATATAGTCTTTTAATATTTCTGACCTGAAACACTCAATGTTAAAGATACTAATTAAAAGTGTCTTCATATCACCACCATGTGTAATTACCCAACAAACACCAGGTCATTCAAACCCACAAATTCCTAGAAACATTACAGAGAACATGACCTTGGTGTCGTCACTGGCAACCAGGACCTTGGAGCTCGGGCTGTTTGCAGTTTTGCCCCTCTCTGCAATTACCCTAAGGGCCTTTTCTGTATCATATCTCAGATCTATTAGTGGGTAGAACCTTCTTTCTATTAGACCCACTACTCTGCCTTTATCACATTTATCCATCACACCACATGTTCTGAGGTGCATTTGATGCTGTAGGATCAATATTAATCAGGTGCTGGACTCCTGAAACTGCAGTTCAACTTTTTCATAATTCCTGCTGGAAAGTTCATGTGATTTATGGGTTTTATTCTTCACATCACGTCATTTTCATCCCAAGAGTGAAGTGAAGTGAAGTAGCATAGTTTCAGTGTGTTACATTGTGAACGTAACCAGAGTGTCGTGGTCAGTGAAAGTCTGTCATGCAGACTGTTGCTCTGCAGTAATTATTTTCACCTGTGTGTGTGTGTGTAAATCCGCCACTGACTGACCAGAGCCCTTTGCATTGTTGCTGGGTAACAGTGTATGTCCAGTAATCTGCATTAGCACCCTTTCATTGTCTATCATCACCACTGGAGCCACATGTCCTGCATTGTAACTCAGCTCCCTCTGTCCCCCTCTCTTTCACCCATCCCTGGCCTTTCCAGAACGTTCCTCTCCGGCTCCATCAGCACGCCTGCCATGTGTCTGGTAGTGACACACACACACACACACACACACACACACACACACACACACACACACACACACACACACACACAAATAAGCGAGCAGAGGGTGAATCATGCTGTCCGGGGAGCCGCCTCCTCTGTCCCTCAGACCCCCAGAATCTGCTGCATTCCTTTCCCCGTCATCCGCCTGGCTATTGGGGGAAAGAGGAGTAACACTCAGGAGTAAAACAGGAAAACCACCTCATTGTTACCAGGGTGACGTCAGGCGCTCTACGGTAGCTACCACGACCAATCAAACACACGTCAAACACGCTGCTATCAGCTCCACAGCAGCATATGGATGTAAAGTACGTATGCTGTATATTTTTGGATATGACTGATCATTTTTAAGACTTCTTGTTCGTGTTGGCTTCAGAACTAAACCTGAAACAATCATTTGATACTATCCAGAACCAGAACACCTACTGAATGAACCTTGTGATACGATCGTTTTGTCAACTGCTTTCTCCAAGGTCAGGAGTGAACTTTTAATCTCATTCTTTCAGTCGACATGAAGAAGAAGTCCTTGAAGGGCTCAGAGGACAGGGAATATGAAAAGCTACAGCTCCATAGCAGCTGGGCGAAGATCATCTGCTGTGGAGGATTCACACAACGTGGCCTTTCATTCAAACTTCATATTGAAAGATAGGTTCACATTTTTTTAAGTTGGGTCACTTACATTATATTATAATAATTCAATCATTTCTCCTGTTCAAACTGGTCATTAAAAGATCCCTACTTAACGCTCTCTGAGTGAATTATTTTGTTCCCCATCATTTCAGTGATAGATAAAAGCCACAGTCCTTATTTTGTGTATAAATATATTTTAAACTTCATCTGAAGTTAATGTAAAGTTTGACAAAAGTCAAATCAAGTGGATATCTTCCAATGTTACATTCTTTTTATTCATTCAATCATTTCATTTCATTTATTTCATAAAAATACAAAAAATAAAAGCATGCAAACATGATGATAGTAATGGATATATACATATATATATATATATATATATACATATATTATTGACAATATTCACTCCTATTGCAATCATTTTTAATATCCTCTTTTGTAGGGTATCATTGCAACATTAACAAACAATTACTCGTTGGTTTCCTGTTGTATCTGACTGTTCATCACAGGACATGATGTGTAGTTAAATGAAAATGGGGAAAATGTTAGGCCAATGCATTTCAAGGCTCTGACTGATAAACGACATTCAGGTGAACATGACAATGACATAACTTGAGCACAGTGCATGTCAGTGGAAGTGAAAAGCATCCCCGACTGGCCTGAAGGTGGAAAAAGTGACACTCATTAAATCTAATACCCGAGCGGTGACATCACTCCCCCCGATGAGGAGGCTGCGTCCGGATTGGACGGCGGCCGCGGCCAATCAGAGAGCAAACACATGGGAAGAGTTTAAAAAAGATTCAGAACAGTGTCGGAAAGTTGTCCAAAAGCCTCACGAGCAGGTCCGAGCACGACTGTGACGAACTGAAGAAAGAAAAAAAGAAAAAAAAAAAAAGAAAGGTACCTACGGATTTGTTCGGGACTTTTTCTGTGTGTTTCCCTGCCTCGGACAGAAAGCTGTAACCTGCTCCTCCATTTTTAAAGCCCTCCTCAGCTCCACTGTAAATAGACAAAACAACAGAATGACATCACATTTCAGGAGCGGCCCAGCCTTCGGTCTCTCTGCCGAGGTCAAGAGTAAGGTAAGTTTACATTTTTTTTATATATATATATATATATATATTCTTATCTTCTATGAAACACGCTGTAGCGTTTAGCACCTGGAGCGAGGTCAGGGGTCCACCGAGGGGCCAATGAAGGCTGGCATGAGGATGAATAACGTAAACAGTCCTATTTGAATAGTTTTCCTTCATCATAAGTAACTCCAAGATGGATCACCTTCAAACGGAAACTCTGTGCAGCGATCAAATGGTTGTTTATATGATATATGGAGCAATTATATGATACTGCTGGATAAAAACTTGGTATAAGGAAGTTGCAGTCACCCTGATCTACCTGAGCGACCTGTTGGCACGTGTTTCACCCTCAAATATAAAATAAAGGACACAAAAACTGACTCGTACATAAATGAGTGTCTGTAACTCTTATCTTTTAATCTTTGAAGCAGATATTTTTCGTATGCATGTTCAGTTTTAACAATTAGAAAGAGGTTGTTTTTTGATGTGATCTCACTGTAGTTTGACTCCAGGTTGTGTGCACTCCTGCCCTCTGATAACAGATCACACAGTGAGGGAGGTGATTGTTTTGGAGCTGAAAGTAGGTCTTAGTGGCCAAATTATTTGTGCGATTATGAGGGGTCAGGGCATTTAGTCTGTGAGAGTGCAGCATGAGGAGGGAGGGGGGGGATTTGACTTGTGCTGCACAATGCTGTGTTATTCTTCTGTTATTGGTTCGTTTATCTCCGCGGCTGAGAAACCAAACGGACTGAAATGAACCATTTATGTAGGATTGTGAATATGAGCCTGCAGGTACTGAAGGTCAAGATGCTTAAGCGATGATTTAAAGCTTGATTTGCAAAATTGAAGGCACATATAATGATTATGAGTGGATTTGTTTTTGACTCTGAGTTACTTTGTAAGGAGGTTCTTTGTGAAAAGAGCGACAGTGGTGGAAGTATTAATACCACAATAAGTACTGCATTCACAATCCTACTTATGTAAAAGTAAATAAGCATTATTTGCAAAATATACTTGAAGTATCAAAAGTAAAAGTACTCATAATGACAGTAAATATATTTTATATTATACTTTTTGGTAATTATTCCGTTTGCATCAGCATGTGAGCAGCATTTTCATTTAATTTTAACTACTTTATATGTGTTTGTTGTTGAAGCTCATATAAATACATCAGACTTTATAAGCTGATGATACATTTGTAAGTAAAAAAAGCCCAATATTTTCTCTCTGAAGTGTTGTGAAGCAGACGAAGCTAATAGCATAGACAGCAATAGTAAAGTGCAAGTACCTCAAACTACAGTACTACAGTAAATGTACTCCCTTCCCACAATCATATTCCTCCGGTTTAAACTGCAGCATCCTGACAAAGCTGAGATGTGTTCTTAAAGCAAGAGTCAATAGGATTTTTGGGATTTTTATTTCATGTGTTTGCTGCCTCTCTGTTGGTGGCATCATGACAGTAGTGACTCTGTACGCTGGGATGAGTCAGAGCTGCTGACAGTTGGAGAAAGGTCAGCCTGTGTCTGCTCCAACACCCGGATCATCATCGTCGTTATTGTCCTGGAGGGACGTGTCCTCTTCCCTGAATAGTGCCGTCTCTCATCAGTACTTTAATCTCACACAGAGGTGCTCTTCACTCTACGAAACCCACATTCCTTTCCTAACTACTCAGCAGTCAGCAGGCTGTTTAGTCAGGAATGAAGGTTTGAGATTTTGGCAATAATCTGGCTGTTACCTCGTTGCCATCTTTGTACCGTTCCCAGGTCGCTTTCCTGTAGAATAGAAACGACGTTAAACACAGCTGTTATCTGAGCGGCAGGGCTTGGTGGGTCGGGCAGGGATGGTTAGGTTCCAGCGGCATGACATCAGAGAGGAGCAGAGATGCAGCAGGAAGACTGACAGGTACATCAGCATCATCTAATGGCCTTTTAAGGAGTGACCGGGCTCTGACTTGGAACTTGAGAAAGTGTCCCTCGTCTAAACAATTTACATTGAAGTCAAGAATGACGAAACACTGTCCCGACAGAACACAGGTGGACAGGAGACGGATGGCGGAGACGGAATCATACCGGCGGCTCGTATGGCAGATCCATCTTACAACAACAACTATTTGTTTAGTGAACAGAAATCACAATGAACCACAGCACGCTTGAGATGATTTCACTGCGGCTTTTATCAAGGAACTATTTGTTTGTTTGTGTTCGCTTACAAACAGCTGGATACATTTACACTGATGATCTGTTCTCTGTTGTCGGACCCCACATGTTCAAATGTTTTATAGCAAACGGCCCGTGAGTTTCTACAAGTTGTTGTTGTTGACCGACGCCTAAATTGAGAAGAAATACTGCAGTCTTGGTCTTTATAGATTTAAAGCTGGCATTCATCTTACCACGAACTATGTCTACGTTCAGTACACTTTGCGGCTGTAGCCTTGGTCTGCTGTGACAAGTAGCTTCTACTGGCAGATGTTAGCTAATGCTGGTCATGTTTAGATCGATGTGTAACTGACATCACGGCGCACTTTGCTGCTGTTACATTATGTTTTGGTTTTTATCATTATCCTGTAACTATTTGCTTTGCGTCTTTTTAACAAAACAAGGTATTATTTCAAATGTTTTGATTGTGGAGTTTTGCGACCAGAACTTTTTTCAATACCTCACTTAGATAGATACAGATACAGATACAGATACAGATACAGATACGGTTTTTACTAAAAACGCTTTTTTAAAATTTTTTCTTCAACAAAGAAGCCAGATATCTCGCATGTAAAATGTCTAAAGACAACGCTTCGTCTGTCTACAACTGGCAAAAGTTTGATTTGAGTCAGAAACTTTCTGATTTTAAAGAAGGGAGAATTTGACCAGACATTCGGTGCTTGAGTACAGTTTGAGGTACTTGTACTTCACTCGTATTTCCATTTTAAGGTACTTTATACTTCTACACTATATTTCAGAGGGAGTTTTCTACTCCACATCATTTTGCCTACTTGACAGATTTTTATATATACATATAAAAACATATGATAAGCTGATAAAATACAACACATTGATAAAGATTAAAGCAGTGTTTCTCAAAGCAGCGCCTCGTTGAGGTCCCTTGTCACGTTTCAGATAAGTTGTCAGCAGAGAGACATTTCCCCTCTAAACTTCTCAGATGGTTTCATTTAGATAATTGTTAGCAGCCTGACAAGGTCAAGTTGTCCATGATTAAACAAAATGAAACGACAATTAAGGAAATATGCAAAACATTAATACACATTTATGCAGCAGAACTTTTTGTTTTTATTTCTTTCCTCTCCCATTAATCATCTCACAACCCCTCAGAGTTATCTGGTGACCCATCGGAGGACGCCCAGCCCCTCGGTTGGGAACCGCTGGACTAAAATACTAAAACGGCACCACCTCACCTGATTATAATTTTGCTGATTGTTGTATTGATACTGAAATAACAGAATTGTCCACGAACAAATAGCAATAAAATGCACCGTCGCTCATTTCAGTACGTCAGGAGGTTTGTCACTGTGGCCTTACTTGGTCTGGTATGGCTAGAGGCTTATGCCAGCTAACTTTAGATAGATGTTGCTGTATACCTGACATTACTTACTCACTATACTGACCTCATGACTCTTCTCCTCTTGTGCCAAGTTTGTTTTAGCATTTGCCATTTTTCCATAATTGTCACTTGTGTCCACAGTGACCTTTCTCTAGCAAAGGTTACACAGTCTTGCTCTATGAGTGGACCTGCAAAGTTTAGATTGAGGTTTGATATCCAGCATCACCAGCACTATTTAAAGTTTTGTTGAATGGGTTATTCTTCAGTATTCATGCTCCATCCTATTTGCCTTTTTTATGATTCATGTTTATGAATAAAAAATCTTTCAGAGTTCAGAAAACAACCAGTTCTGACCGCATTCCTGAGCTCCACTATGAAAAGAACAACACGGCTAAATCAGACTCTGAGCTCAAGTACCTCGACTGGAAGCAGGACCTGTCGATCTTGGCCTGTCTTTATCAGACGTGGTTTGCCTGAATAGTCAACTCACTGTAAAAGGGCAGATTCTGGAAAACCCAGAGGGAGAGAGGGGGTGAGACAAACAGGGGGGGAGAGAGAAATATGAGCTGGGCCAATGGGAGACAGAGAGCGAGACAGTCGGAGGGAGAGGGAGGAGTGTTTGGGAAAGCTGTTTCTCCCAAGTTTGGTGTGATGGACTGGAAGCCTCCGCTATCCCCGCTGCTTTGAAATACTTGTTTGTGTTGGCTGGCGATCCCAGACTGTGAAGACTTATCTGCAGAACATTCAGGAAAAGGGGACGAGGGCGTGTGTGTGTGTGTGTGTGTGTGTGTGTGTGCGTGCGTGCAAGGGGGGGGAGCAGCCTTAAACCTCACGCCAGAATTCAAAGTATTAGGGCAATGTGTTTGTGCCAATAAGGAAATACAGGGAGAGGAGAGAGAGAGAGAGAGAGAGAGAGAGAGAGAGAGACCAGAGTGTTTCTCTAAGCAGGAATGTCCACAGGCCTTTTTCATTTTCATTTTTATTCCTGTTCTTTTTATACCCTTCATCTCAAAGTACTTTTTATTATACAGTAAGACTTTCAGTGACAGTACAGTTATGATGTGCCTTATGAGAAAAGAAAGGCAGAAACCAGAGTTATTTTAGGAACCAAAAACCTGAAATTAGGCTTGAAAGAAAGGTTGTATTAAACTGACAAAGAGACTTGTGTGTGTGTGTGTGCATTTACCTTTTTAAGATTTGAGTATTTTTTAAAATATATTTCAAATGACATTATCTATGCTCTACTGCTTTTATTCCATCCCTCAGAGAATTTCACTTTATTCTTCCCAATCATGATCAAAACGTGGGTATCGCTTCATTTAATGGGTGTGTGATTTCCAAACAACTTCCAAGGAAGTTTCCTGGAAAGAACTATTTAATTTGTTAGCGGTTGTAAGGAAAGTAGACACAGTTTTCAAATGGTACACTTCTGATTCATTCAAGTATTTGATCCAAGAATGTTTGTGAGTGTACTGGAGGTCAGCTCAACATGCAAAACTGTGGGGAAACAGAAGAAATATGGAAGACAAAATGTACTAGTGCTTATTAATATTTTCTCTGGTTTTAATGGAGCTTTTCTCAAGATAAATAAATCCTAGTTTCCCTATAATTGGTAAAAAATTAGATGACACAGGTGAAACTAGAGACTAGAATGCAATGGGATCACAGCAGCCGCAACACCTGTCAACGTGTTGGCGTTTTGACCCACCTAGTATTCATTAGTACATTAATATACGAGCACTCAGTACTCACAGGTCGGACCGCCACCCGTCTTCGAACACAACCTTCGTTTTGATCTCAGATTCACACCTGAAAGTTTCATGATTTGTGTCACTCACTTATCGTGGTGAGAGACAAACGTTTAAACACCTGCCACAGTCCTCAAGTCCGACTCTGTGGCAGCTCCCACCTACAGAAGGGCGTCTGCAGGAACACATTTCACCACACACACACACACACACACACACACACACACACACACACACACACACACACTGGTAATAAAGTTTACAGCTCAGTTTGAAAAAGCTGAATCTGAATAATCTGGAATATTCCACGGAACAGATTGATGCTTACATTTACACCTTTTTCTTCTTCCACAAGGTACGAGGGTGAATTTGTGCTTTATCTTCATCTGTTTTCTGTTTTCCAACCACAGGATACATTGATCACTATTCACTTTGCCGAGTCTTTTTTGTGCTTCTCATGAAAGCCACTACAAAAAACTGAAGGCTTGCCACTAGAGATGAGACACGGTCATGGAGAGTTCGATGGGCTGAAATATTTTTAGAACAAAACTGAATATAAAGCGAAAGTAAAAGCTAATGTTTGACCTCTTGACCTCTGTCCTATTGTAGCTTGCAGGGAAGTATGACCCCCAGAAGGAGGAGGAGCTGAGGCTGTGGATTCAGGATGTGACCGGCAAGAGGATGGGGGACAGCTTCATGGAGAGCCTGAAGGATGGAGTCCTGTTGTGCGAGTGAGTGGACAGACACAGACACCTCGGAAATGTAATCGTACTCATTTCAGTGATTTGTCCCCAATAATATTACCTGCCCTTTTTAAAAGATTTTCTTGAATTCTGTGCCTCTCTCTTTTAGACTCATTAATGTTCTCCAGCCTGGTTCTGTGAGAAAGATCAACCACTCCAGTCAAAACTGGCACCAGGTAATGCACCAGCTCTATGGAAAAGTAAAAAAAAAAAAGGGCCTTATTTGTCCTGCTACTCTCAAAGTCAGGGACGTTTTCCAGAGCATGTGGAACTTGGTTAGTCTGCCATATTGGCCTTGACAACACGGAGCCTATTTACATTCCATAAAGTAGCTGCCATATCAAATGAAGCCCATCTCAGCGTGGCATTTATTAGCCTTTTACAGGCTTGAAAAAGCAAACATTGCTTCTAAGGCTTGATTGAAGCTCTTTTCAAAAAAAAAAATTCTCACTGTGATATTAATGCTGCTGCAAATGAATGGACTACACAGTCAAGGCTTTCAGATGGGAGTCAGACATTATAAGGGCAATGCACGGGGGAAGAAAAAGCCTTGAGGTACTTTAAATTTTTAGCAGTTGTCATTCAATTCAGTTTCTGTGCATTTTAATAGGATCTTATTTAAAGTAAAGTTTATTTATATAGCACTTTTCACAGTCACAAAGTGCTTCGCAGAGCCACAAACACTTTCAGAAATCCAAAAACATAGAAAACACACCACACAGGGATACAATAACGTACCCATCATCGCATAAGAAGGTGCTAAACGGCGATATAAGTTTAAGGTTATGGCTTTACAGAGCCATCAACAGTCAAAATGCAAATACACAGAATCCTCAGTTTTATTCTTTATGGTGTCCACACCAAACTGTTATCACAATATTAAAGTATTAGTTCCACATTTTGGGAAAGAATGCTTAGTCACTGTCTTTTTAGGAGAGTTTTTAGATTCATATCTGTATGATAAATACGAAGCTACTGCTGGCAGCTAGTTAGCTTAAGACAAGGAATAAAATGGGAGGAAACAGCTAGTGTAGCTCTGTCCAGAAGTAACTAAAGCTCACTAATTAATCCACTATATCTTAGGCGAGTTGTTTTCTCTTGTTTTCAGTCTCTGTGCTAAGCTAAGCTAGCCAGCTGCTAGTTTTAGCTTCATATTTATCGTATAGATACGTGAGTGGTATCTATCTTCACAATCTAACTAAATGTGGAAGTGTTGCTTTTAAAAGGTTTTTGACTGTGTAAAGCTGTGTTCAGCTCCTTCTCTCTAATATTTCCGGTTTTTTTTTGCCTCCATCCTCCTCAGCTGGAAAACATAGGGAACTTTGTCCGTGCGATCACAGAGTACGGCCTGAAGCCACATGACATCTTTGAGGCCAACGATCTGTTTGAGAATGTCAACCACACTCAGGTCCAGTGCACGCTCATCGCTCTGGTTGGAATTGTAAGGGCAGCTAAACACACACACACACACACACACACACACACACACACACACACACACACACACACACACACACACACTGTTACTCCAGTGACATCTGTTGTAGGAAAGTGTGATGGTAGAGAATCAGGTGCAACCAGTAAAAATCCCAATAACTTTTATCCTGCAGACACCACAAGCAATGACTGTACATAAGTATATTGTGATAGTTCTATGCTCAGTGTTGCAGCCATTCATTTACCTGTGTGAGTGCTTTGTGTTGCACGGACGAAGACAATATAGAAACGGCATCAGCCTAATAAAAACAACATGGGTATGAAAAATACACACTCTATTACCACCATTTTCCTTTCTGTCTCTTGCCACTTCTCTCTCTCTCTCTCAGGCCAAGTCCAAAGGTTTCCACTCCAAGTATGACTTTGGAGTGAAGTACGCTGAGAAGCAGCAGCGCCGCTTCGCTCCAGAGAAGCTCAGGGAGGGACGCAACATCATAGGCCTGCAGGTCAGAACAGCAGGCGTGCTTTAAACTACACTGATCTACTGCTTTAACACCCTTGATCGCATATGAGATTGTAGCTCCATGTGTCTGAAGATGCTCTGCTGGCAGGACACCCATTTCAGACCAGATAGATGGATGTGGGTTGCAATTGTGCCCCCTGCTGGAGTCGTGCAGAATGAGTCTTGAATTGAATAACGGGTTAATTTTGCCATCATGGGTGTGACCTTACATTTGTTTTTAGTCGTACAGATGAAGCCCAAAGTGTCAGCTATGTCCCCGAACTAACAGAGTGTTTTCACTTGTTCGGCTCACTCCATTTTGCTGTATCTCTAGATGGGCACCAACAAGCTTGCCAGCCAAAAGGGCATGACCTCTTACGGCACACGGCGCCACCTGTATGATGCCAAGATGGGCATGGACAACCCGCTGGACCAGTCTACTATCAGCCTACAGATGGGTACCAACAAAGGAGCCAGCCAGGTGAGGAGAGACACACTAAAAATAATTTTCTTTTCTTTTATTCATCCATTTTACCAGATAAAATCTCGGGCTCGGGCGATGTAAGTTACTTAAACAGTGAGGTTGTTGAACTATTTTCAGATGCAGATTAATACACATGTTGATGCTGTAGTACAGTGGTTCCCAACCAGGGATACCATGAAGTAATTCTGCTGTAGTCGGGGGGTATGTGGGGAAAAAGTGTGGCTCATCAAATTAGACAAAAAAAAAGCTTTATTTTAAATAAATAATGACTTCAGCGCACGTGTTAACTAGATAGAAGCAAGCAAAGTCTAAACAGTTAGCCAAAATGAATGGATAAATAGTTGTAGCAAGAAAAAAGCAGTTCAAATAAAAGAAAGTGTCGGATAAACAGTTGAAGTAACGAGAAAAATAGACTGGTTAAGTGGTTAAAACGGATATTAAATGGCTAAAAATATTATACGGTGAAAAAGCTTAAAGTAGCCAATACATGGTTGAAATAGCCGCATGTAAAAGTCATGCAAAATGATTTAACCGTCACTTTAATCTCAATATTAAAATTTAGCTAAACTATTAATAGTTAGCTGCAAGTAATGGGTAGAAATGTTGAAATCACACTCATATGGTTAAAATGATTAGTTAAAGGTGATGGGTAAATGGTTAAAGTAGCTGAAAGGGTTTAATGGCTGAAACAATCCGAGGTAGCAGTGCGACCAGACCAAAACAAACTAAACACTCAACCTCTTTTTTATACAATTAATAGTGCTAAATAACATCCAGTTTAAAACCAATCAAGTGAAGACGGCTGGAACAAGTGGCCTGCGGATGAAAGCGTACTGGAGTTCATGGAGTTCATCTGACAGAGCTCTGGCGTTACATCAGATAAAAAAGGCTGAGAACCACTATTGTAGCAAGTATTTCTGGCAGCAGGACAGTGTGCATGGGTTTGACAAATAAACTTGAGTGCCCATATCCATCATTATGAAGGAACATGTCACCCAACGCGGCAATGTTGTGTTTTTAATAGTGTCTGGGCAACAGCGAAGCTTTACGACACAGAGAGGGATGTTGACAGTTAGAAAAACATACAGTATCACCGGCCTTTTTTATTCTTTGAATTCAGTCAGTATTCGTTGCCTCTTCAAGAGGCTTTGAAAAAAATATATTTACACAACCCGCAGAATATTTTCTTCTTTTTTTTTTCTTTTTTAATTTCAAAAACCCCTTCATCTTGTTTCCGTCCCTTAGTCTGGCATGACAGCTCCGGGAACCAGGAGGCACATCTTTGACAAGAAGCTGGAGCTGGAGAACTGTGACACCACCACCATCTCTCTGCAGATGGGCACCAACAAAGTGGCCTCCCAGCAGGGCATGACCACCTACGGCCTGCCCCGCCAGGTCTATGACAACAAGTACTGCACCAACCCCACCGAGGCCTACTATAACAACGGCAATGAGGTGGAGTTCGACGGCTACAACCAGTACTCAGATTAAAAAAACACGGACAGCCTCACCGCCCCCCCCCGCCCCCATCCCCCCTCCCCTTTGCTTTAACTTCAGACAAACAACCACAACTGTCTTTGTGATGAGCAAACCTCCCAGACTGTTATTTAACACTGATTGACGTCACTGTCGTCTTTATTGCCCCTTCTTTTCCCTAAACATAGTTTTACTCTTGGGAATTTATTGTTTTTCTTTCCATGAGTAAAACAAAAAAAGTGTTTACACTGACCTTACGTCAAAAGATTTAATTTAGTGGCCAACGTCTGTATCTCATTGCGCTGATGAATTTTATTACTGCTAAAAACACCCAAACAACACTTAGTTTGAGATTAAATGACCTTTTGCTATTTATAGATTTATTTTCTACTGCTTTTTATATTTGCATTGTAATTAGAGATTTTTTTTTTTTTTTTACTTTTTATACCCCTCGCCTCACCTCCCTTACCCGTCCTGTCCAGTTTGAACACTGACGAAGCAGAATCTGAACGTTCCTTGAAAGGAAACAAGTGACTGTGTTGGTGCTATTGAACTTCAACCCAGTTGGAACAGAGTCCACGTCGGAGCTCCGCAGGCTCCGGGATCCCAGCGCTCGGGATGACGCAGAAGCCTCAGGTCCACAGGTTGACGGGGGGGGGGGGGGCGAACAATGCAGGAGGACTTGTAGCTTTGTGCGGACATCGCTTTTGTTTTGTGAGCACCTGCGCTGACAAATAGTTGTGTTCACCGGCCTGCCAGATTACCCATTTTGCCGATGTTACTGGGCTGATTTACATGGCTTGTGTGCAGCGTGAGTCTTTGGTTTTTTGAGGAGGTATTTAGAAAAAGTAGCAGGGTCTGTCAGACAATGCATTTATAAACTTAAAAAAAGTCAATGTAAGTGTTGTGATATCCAGTTTGATGTTGGGGTAAACTAGGTCACCAGTAGTTTTTGTACTGAGAGTGAAGCTGTTGTCTTTTTGCTTCCAGCCTTTTGGAAACATTTGCCGCTCGCCTTCTGCCTCAGTGAACTTTGGCTTTAGTGCTGTTGCTCCTTTTGCACTTTACCTGGCCTCACCTTATGTGCTGTAAACAGTGGAGGATGAAACTAAGTGCAGTTACTCAGATACTGTACTTAGATATAAATTTTAGGGTACTTGAACTTTACTTGAGTTTTCCATTTGATGCCACTTTTTACTTATACTCCATTACATTTGTCAGTTATAGTTACTTTAGACAATGAGGTTTTTACATACAAAACAAATTAGTTTATTAAGTATGTTGTAAGTATAAGTAACAATATTTTACTACGCTTACTTTCATAATTAAAGAACATTTTGCTGATAATGCAAAAGGAGTATTTTTACATTGTGGTATTGCTACTTTTACTTATGCAAAGTGTCTGAGTACGTTGTCCACCACTGGCAATAAATAGCAATATCAAAGCAGACCCAGGTGCTTGCTGATAATTGCTAATGTGAGTCATGCCAAATATACAGATGAGATCCTCCTTTTGAAACTTCTGCATCATACTGTTAACCCACCGAATGTCTTGAATGTAAAAGTTAGAAGTGCCTCTAGCTGTCACAGGATTCATTTTCAACACATTAGAGTGCAGAAATTTACACTTACATTTCAGTTTTGGCTTTAAATGGTGTCAGAAGTAAATGGACCATTATATTTGAGCTCCTGATTTAAAAGCATCACAGCTACGATTTTGGACATGTGGCAGGGCGACATCTAGTGGGGGGAAAAAGCATGAGTATATTTACTGTATTTTTAATCCATCAAACGACCAAACATTACTTTTATTCCATCAAATATAGGAATGTAGTTAATTTATTGATCATCATTCCCACCCTGTGATATCAACAATGGCAATAATGTCAAGTAAATGTATAGTAACATTTCACCCTAATGTGTTGGCTTTGTTTCAACATTGTTCAAACTATACATCTTTGCTAACCTCTTGATTTTTTTTTTTTTTTTTTTTTTTTTTTTTTTTTTCTATATGCCTTTCACTAAACATGACATTTGTGCAATAAAAACACTTCAAAAATATGGTTCTGGTGTAATTTTCTCTTTACTGTCATTACATCAAATTACACAGTAAACGTGAAATCCACAAAAGTAGTGTAACAGAAATAACATGATTGTGATTTAAAAAGGAACATAATAAAATCAAGCAGTACAAATATATATACTGGTCCAAAACAATTAAGGATTTGGCAGTTCAAAAAACAAACAAACAAAAGAAAAACTTAATGTTTCAGTGCATTAGTGACAGGGTTGAAAACTAAAACACTACTACTAACACAAAAGTAACACTTGTATGTCTCATTATAATCTGTATTCAACCCAAATAGTAGAGAATATTTTTTTCATCTATAAATTCACAAAAAATGAAGGACATTGAATGTTTTATATTTGTAGAAATATCTGTCAGATTACATTTTAAACTTACGACAGTTTGGTCCAGAAAAAGACGAAATCTTGATCCAATATAAAATAAAGAATCACTTTCCATAAGCGAATCACTGAAATTAAATATGAAAACCTTTACATCGAGAACTGTGATGTAGAGAGGTTACTGTCAAAACAACATGATGACACTCTGGCCCAGCCAGACAGATGCGTCATGCTCAGCAAGCCACACTGTAGCAAAAATGAAAACTAAGGATGTCATACACTTTAAAACAGAAAAACATAATGTCTGCTACATGGTGCTAAACAGGAAGTGATTCACCAGACCAATCAAAGAGGTGTTACGTGAGTGAGGTTAGAGAAAAGGTGAGTCACAGCAAAACGGGACTACTGATTGGCTGCTTCACAGGCATCAATCCAGTCGCTGTAAACATCCACTGGCTCGGACAGATCTGTAGAGGAAGGGTTAAGGGATATTCCACATGTGCAGGCAAGTGACACACACACACACAAAAAAACAATCCTCTAAATTCATCTATTGCAATATTAAGACAGACATTTCAAAATTCCTGGATTCAAACCAAAAACAAAATCATTGTTCCTTGGCTCTTGACTTTCTGCATTACTTAATTTCACAAGATTTTCCTTCAACCTAAAATAAAGCAAACAGGACCAAAAAAACAAATCTTAACAGGTGAAAGTAATTATAATCAGCCAGTCAGCCATGTTGCTGTCCTTTGTTGGTAAAAAAAAAAAAGGATACAGGTTATTGGAGTCTGAAACTCCTCCAAACAAACACTGCATGATATAATTCCCGTGTTGCGTGTTCGTTCCCTGGAAAAGAGTAAGTAGTTTGTTGATAATGAGGCATTTCTCTGTTTGTTTTTTTATTTTTTTTAATTTTTATTAAAGCAATGTGATGTTACATCAGGCTGAACTTACATTTTCACATCGCAGGATTTCTCATGGTTACAGAACGGGCACGTGAACTGGGTGTCCAGGTTACCTGTCATTTTTTTCTTGGGAGGTGGCTTTCTCTTTGACTTTCTGCGCCCCATTTGTAATCTTGTATGCCTGCAGAAAAAAAAACAAACAAAAACAGTTGAATGATTACTTTTTTTCTTCTTTTTCCCCATCAGCCATGGTTATTACCATACACTTCATTCACTCTGGATTTCCCTTTACACTCTTTCACAGAGAAGTCAAGTCTAGTGGATGTTCCTGTGTGTATGTACTATGAATTAATGCAAATTTGCCCATTAGGTTAAGTCACTTTTCATGGCTTTCCATTCATAAACTTTACCTTTACTAGACATTATAGATTGTTTTCAGCTTCCACCTATTTAAATGACTCTTGTATACAAAAAAACAAATAATCAAATCGCAGTTTTATCTGTCATAGCTTGTTTTTATTCGGTCCGCACCTGGTTCTCAGGCAGGTACAATCACTGGACGAAAAACTAACGCGACTCCCGTGTCAACCTTACGTTACACCTTTTTCTTGTGAATACTAATTAACGTTACCACTATATAAACAGCAAATCTGAACTACACTTAACCACAGTCACACTCAGTGGCTGCCCGAAGCTGTAATTTCTTCCAAACAGATTAACGATGCACTGAAGCGCCAAAAAAGACACCGTTACACGCTAGCGAGCTAACAGCTGCTAGCATGTGGGTAAAGACTGTGTGACATTAAAAAAATACTTTTAAAGACGATTTTCAAGGCAAAAGGCGAAGCTAACGCGCGTGTGTTTCATCTGTCTCGGGTTGCCGCGTCAAGCATTTGCTTAATGATGTGTCTGTTGTCTTACCGAGGTGATGTCTTGCAGCGTAGGAGGATGCTTTGTGTATTCAACTAGCTCCGGATGCAGCGTCTCTGGAGGACCGCTTCTGATTGGTTACTTGAAAATTTGTCCGGGGTTTGATTGGTTGAAAAGTGGAGACTGGCAGCTTTGTGTATCCAGTAGTAGAGCTCGTCTTGTAAATTAAGTCCCTCCTCCTCGAGTGATGGTACAAACAGACAGTTGAGAAAGAAATGTTAGATAGATAAATGTTGCATTTAATAGATAAATAAAACCAATTAGGCTAAACTGGTAGCTGTAATTAATTAAGATAAACTGATTTTTTTTTCTCCCCAGAAATTGAAAAATAATTACCTTGAAGGTCCATCAATAGCAAAAACATGTTGAAGGGCAATTAACTCAAGAAAATAATCAGGTAATAAAAGGTTCAGGCAAAATTTAATATCCACTGGAGTTAAACGGTGGGGGAAATGTGTAAATGTATTCCTCTTAACACCTCTAGAATATTTTCACTTGATTATTTTTTTTTGTTTTTGTTTTAGTGCAACCATAATTAATATGTTGTGTGTGGTTTTAATTTCACAAAGTGCAAGCATTATAGAACTTACATGAATAATTGAATTTTGCAGGTACAGATGACAATAGCTTACATGATACTACCATACAGTGCAGGGGAAAAAAGGTTTTTGTAAATTAAGTTTTTGAGGGATTTGAGGGCAGTGTGCTTCAGCATTTCTGTGTATTTTTTCACACATTCTCACTGCGCATGTTCTTATAACAAAGTTTAGTTTTCTGAAAGTAAATCATCAAAGAGAATTTTACTA